TGCAGCATGAATGTTTATTGCCATATGATATGGCAGCATTAGCATAATGGAAGGTTAAATATTATAAGATGAATGAAACTTGCATGGTTAGGTGAGAATCACACAGAAGAAATAGTCAGTTGCATCACTTTTGAAGCATAAGCCATGATTATCTGTCTCGGGTCCAAAATCATCAAACGTCGAAGACTATTTTCTAATCTTTTGTCCTCCTCCTGATCTGTCTCTCTTTGTCTGCTGAGTTTCCAGGCTGCCATGCCCGGACTCTCTGCTGATTCAATGCTGCCATCCTTTCTCTCTGCTCATATGCTGCCATGGCCTGTCTCAGACTATCCTCTATCCAAATCTGAAATGAGTGGTACTAAACTATCGGTTTATATATATATATATATATAATATATATATATATATATATATATATATATATATATATATAATATATATATATATATATATTATTTTTTTTTTTTTTTTTTTTTTTTTTTTTTTTAATCACCAAAATTTGTCTTGATGCATTTAAATTGAAACCTCACAACAAGCTTACCCTGCTGGAGTCCAATAAATTCGTTCCCCAAGCCCAGGTGTTCGTCACTACAATTCGGCTTGACTGAATCATCTCTCTTGTAGCTCTGTTGAGATCTCGAGACTTGAAAGAGTCCTGCATGTTGGCAACGCTCCTCTGGAAATCAGGGCCTAATCTTTGCCCGATCTGTAGGTTCATCTGGAACGTTGACCGGGCAAGGCGCATGGGCAGGGAAGCGACTTCTCCTCTTTCCGGCTGACGGCTAATTTCACTGTATAGTGTTGATGCTGCTTGACGTCCGAAGTCGTACTGAAAAAAGGCTCATTTCAAAATGTCTCTCTGCCTCATACAAATGGCTCAATTTGCATGCATTTGCCATTCTTTAAAAAGCAAATTTGTCTAGCAAAGCATCATGAAAAGTGCGCATATAACTAACCAAAAGAGAGGCAGAGAAGGAGCCATCTATACTTTCACGAGTGTGTTTCAGCCTCGGGTAAGCAACATTGTGCATTGTGCGATACAGCCGCCTTCTGGTTTTGTTCAAAAGGGCTCCCACACTCCCAGCATCTGCAACTGTAAACAGTATATGGCACTACATTAATACTTTTATTGAATATAACAAATTCTAAATTGTTTTCTTATTATGGTAATTTGGAAAAGTTATAAGAGTTGGAATTTAAGCTAAATTTATGCCTTTCCATGTTTGTTAAGCATGAAATAAACAAATTTTCCTTACCCTGCACAGAAATATATTTATGAACATGCAAAGTTATAGGAGTTAGAACTTAAGCTAAACTCGTGTCATACCATATTTGTTAAACATAAAATAGTCAAACTTTCCCTACCCCACACAGAACTTTATTTATGAATCTGTAATTAAAGTTGAGTCATGGACGTATTTCAGGACTAATCTCACCTGTATCTCTTGGATCTCCTGGCTTGGCTGGCAAGACACTGTCCAGAAGCGTGTTAGCGGTGTTCACGATCCGCGCTGCTACGCCTGTGGCGGCCTGCCCTCCGGACAGCTTCGACATGAATTCTACCTGTAATATCTTTCGTTTCATTTTAGACGTTCATCAGAAATAGTTTCAGTCGCTTTGCTCTCATTATGCTCAACACTAAGCTTATGATTACGCACACTTCAATTACAAGGTAGTTAACCTAGCCATGTGATGCGAGAGTGAAATGAAAGGTAGAAGAGTTATTTTAGATGACGAGGAAACCTGGGAAACCTGCCATCGATAGGGAAATGACACAGCAGGGGTTCTAACGTCTAGGGGTTTTATTTCATGGTATCCAGTCATATGGCAATCTTCGGCAACAACTAATATAAGTACACAGTATGGACAGAAGGTATAAGATATACTAATAAGATAAAATACACACTGATTTGCACCAAACATACACACATACTCAAATGCAATCAGTAAACCCTAGAAATGCAACAAACCTTTTTCTCAAACAAAAGAAAAACCGTTGAGTGATAGAAAGGCTATAAGTTTAGTTTATAGAAACCATTTATTGTTATCGTTAATGTAATTCCGTAATCACGTCAGTCTAGGATTGACAGCATTTTTCAATAATAGAATGAATATTTTAGCTATATGTCCCTGAAAAACCTACATCGCATTTGTGAATCAGGCACTGGTTGCATGAATCAATTAATCTTCACACGCAAGGCGAAGCTACCGACCGTGCTGGAGGCCCTGGCGGAGAGGGCGGCCGAGAGCGACACGGGCACCGTGCCCGTCCCGGCCACGGCCATCAGCATGCGCTCCCTGGTTGTGCTCACGATCTGGAGGCAGGAAAGATTTTTGCATTAATCACGACTCACAGTACGCGTGTGGGCGTGTCAGTTTATATGACATGTTATTAGATATTCATTGCATGTCTTGGTATGTCCATAGGTTTCTGTGCACGGACTGTATAACCCTCAGGGATGCACACAAATATGTATAACTGTAGGTGTGTACGTGGTCG